CAGTTTCATGTGCACAGTCTTGATTTTTTTGTATTTATGAATAACACATAAAAGTATTTTGGTGGTTTTATGTGCTATATGTGAATGGAAATTTCCCTGTTACCAAACGTTCAACTGGCTTTTTTTTGGTCTTAGCTTTTCATAAAATCACTTGCTTATAATTCCCACCCAAGAATGCTGGAATCTTTCACATTTTCTGCTTTTTGGCAGAATTCCTGTTCACATATAATAAAAGTAGATAATTTACCATTGTAATAATAATAATATGGCATATTTCACACCATGTCCCTGTGGCCTGAGTGGTTCTATGCTTGTTTGACTTTAGATTATATTTATGCTACCAGAGTGCCATGTGTATGTCACTAATTGCTCAAGAGAACCATGCTAAATCAAAGAAGCAAATATTATCTAGTTTAATACCATGAAAAAATGTTTTATAAAGCTTTGACGCCTTTAGACACGGGGTGACAAATGATGGTGGGTGTTTTTTTAAAATAAGATTGCTATTTTATTTTACATCTTCTGTATGTGAGAACTTTTAAGCTTGGCTTGGCTGAAATATGATTGAAAGGACAAATAATGAAGCTAAGGATGAAAGTGCAAGAATAAAAAGGCCAGAGCAATTGACAAGACACTAGAGCCACATTCTTTTAATCAAGAATCGTAGTAGTAGAAAATGAAACTAAAGATGATTTGTGGACATTTTACTGATGTCCGAGGAAAAACTCATTGTGGAATGAAAGGAACCAACACTACAAGGTTTCTGCTGCTCCCCCCGTTTTTTTAGAAAAGTCTTTTTAAACTACAGTCTAGTTCAGGGGTTCTCAAAGTTCATTGCACCGTGACCCCCTTCTGACAACAAAAATTACTACATGACTCCAGGATGGGGCACCGAAGCCTGAGCCCTGCTGCCCTCTGCAGTGGGGCCAAAGCCCAAGCCTCACCACCCTGGGTGGGGGGGCAAAGCCCTACCCCCACCACCCCAGGCCAAAGCTGAAGCCCAAGGGCTTCAGCCCCAGGCAGAGGGCCTGTAACCTGAGCCCCACCGCCCAGGGCAGAAGCCTTCTCAAGCTTTAGATTTGGCTTTGGCCCTGGGCCCCAGCAAGTCTAAGCCAGCCCTCGCGACCCTGTTAAAATGGGGTTGTGACTCACTTTGGGGTTCCAACCCACAGTTTGAGAACTGCTGGTCTGGTTAACATATCTAGTATGAGGGAAATGTTTAAAAAAACCCTAAAGGATAAATTAGGCAATAACTTCTGCAATTCAGCTTGATTACTGTCTAAGCATAGGCTGTCTCTTTCAGGAGGAGAAATTCATTGCTTGATAGATTGTATGCTATTTCTACAAGACTAATACAGCATTGGTATAGAGTCTGATTTCCCTTTGGAGTACATTCTCTTGATTTCTCAGTGCATCATGATATCCACTAACTGGGTTTTCTCTGAAACCTAACACTTGCATATTCAGTTGAAATTAGTTTTCTTGTTATCTTGTGCTGAGAGGCCATGCACTTTGAGGGTCATATGCACAGTTTGAAGCAACTAGAGTTCTGATTGAAGAGATGAGAAGCTGCTTAAATTCTTATCTTGCATGGGTTTTCTGTGTGTAAACAAAAGCTATGATCAAGGCCAAAAGTTATACTCCCAAATAGATGTGACGAGGAACTACTTTAACATAAAAATTACTTTGTTGTATTAGTTCCTTCAGGTAATCGCTTTTGTGAGCTTTGACATCTAAGTTAGATCAGCTCCAGACTAGTCTTCTGGATCTTTATAATGTGCTAGTCCTGGGCTTTCAATGTCTCAGCTGGTTTTTGATAAGGATGTTTTTGGTTTCCATGAGGCTCATCTGTAGTTCATGCTGTTGCCCATCTTAGTTCTTTAAAACACAAGGTGTGCCTGATGCTTAAGAGATCTTATCAATACCTTATTTAACAAAGGAAGGGTACCAATCATCCTTAAATATGAAGAATTCTGCTACTCTCTGTGTCTATTTTTGGAGTTGAGATAGCTTTGGTCAGGTTCATACACCAGATTGGGAAAACTTTTCACTTTTCCCTAAAAAGACAACCTGGTAATGTTTCTGCTTTTTTGAATTTTTGATACTAAAGTATGTATGTGAACATATCCTGTTTGAAAGCTCTTTGATATTAGAATCATTGGGCTCTAGTTTTAATCTGTGTGCATGAAAACTGTAAGTATTCTAAGATTAAAAGGAAGCTGAGACAATCAAATGTTTTGCTATGTTGTTAAAGTTACACAGCTGCCTAGAAGATAAGGGGAGTGGCTAGAAGTGAGTTGGTGAAGTTATGAAGTGTTAGAGGGCTTGGTTTGCTAGAATCTAGTAACTTCTGGAAGGTAGGCTGGGCATTTGATGATACAGTTAGATAAAAAGCTGTTCCATCTTTTCAGACTTCCTTGTTGAATTTGCAGAGGTTTGGTTTTCATTCTAACTGTAGTAAATGTAGACTAATAGCTTCCATCCTACAAATGAGTGTAGGTAGGTGTCTGGTGATTTGCCAGCCTCAGATGTACAAATCTGTTTGATACACGTGTGCCTAAAGTTAAGAAAGTGGTAGAAAACGGGCGTCATGACAACGTTTAATTTTACTGTAGAAGAATTAAGTAGTAAAATGGAAAAGATTTGTACTTATTTCAGGATTGTTGCAAATGTTCTCACTTTTCAAGATCAAATGTGCCACATTACATGAAACTTTACCTGTTGCAGTGGGAAAAGCTAATGGGAAGTTTGATCTTTGCCATTTCCTGGGTGTCTGTGACAAAGACTGCTCCTGAATTAAGATGATTTTTGAAGATCTGATTGAAGGACTGTTACAGGAATGTCTTGGGTACATTTAGATGACAGTGGCAAAATATTGTCTTACAGACTGTAATGGGATAAGGCTAGATGCTGCAAGGAAAGACTTCACCTCGAAAAAAGTTTAAGGTAAATTTTTCAAACTTCCTAAATCCCATTTTCATAAGTGACCTACATTCCTAAACCTCAGTGAAAGTCACTGGGAGTTAGGCTCCAAAGTCACTGAGTTCCTTTTGAAAATTTTACCCCTAACCTTTTTCTGCAAACATAGCACAGAATTAGAAGCTTGGGAAAATGTTTCCACATATGGAAAAATGTTGTTGCTGTTCTGTATCTGAAAAGAGCATTGTGTTAAAGTTGCTGAAGATGCCGTTCAGTAAAATGTGATGTCCTCAAAATGATGTCTAATTGCACTGGGGAATTGCCTGCAGAGTGAAATAATAGATAAATGGAAAATGTAATTTTCTATAATCAATTTGAGACAAGCACTTTTCCATATGTTCACTATCTCAGGTATTTCTGTTCAATATGAATATGTTTGGCTTAATATCTGCTTTAATCTTTTAATTTAAATATCTACTATTTCTACCACCAGTTATTGAATAGAGGAAAAACTAAATTTTGTATTACCTCAGAGCTTTTTTGTCTGGCATTTTTCCCTGATATTCAAGTGTGCAGACCAGATTGGCAATCCATATGGTGTCACATGGGAAATTAAATCAGTTGGACAAGTGTTATCAGCACACCTGCTTGAATTTGGCACTGTTCAACAATAATGCAGCATTGCTTATTACACAATGGAAGATGTCTTAGAAAGGTTGGTCTGATGCAAAAATGTGTCAAAACTAAAAATTGAAGCTATGTTTGCACACTTGTTCTCATCTTTTGATTTAAATACTTAAATGTGATGAAAAGCTTTTGTAATGCACCTCCTTTTGCATTGTAAGAAGCAGCATGTACTCTAGTCCATCCACTTTTAAATAATCATTCTTTGCCTGTGATGAGCTACTGTTGTATTAGCATGGCTCAAAAATGCAGTTACCCATTCATGAAAGTCCAGCTAGAAGTTCAGCACTCCGCTTTTTGTTGTGTTTTAGTCACCGTATGGACAATATGGGGACCAGAGCACCAGTCATACCCTCAGCATTTTTTCCTTGGTGCTGCTTTGTCTCAGACAGAGAAGGGAATTGAGCACCTGCATGTTGAATGTATTTCCAGGATGTGTCTATGGGGGCCCACTGCTACTCTTGTTGGGGGAGAAGAAGAAAAGGGACAGCCTAAGAAGTGACCCTGACCTTCCAAAAACTTGAAGGGGAGAAGAGTACAACCTTTCAAAAATCACCGTTCTTGCATCCAGTGGGTTTTATGCTTTAATCCCTCCAGTTTATCTCCAGGGCACAGGAAGAGACTTAATGGGAATAGAGGGAAGCATGTGAAAGTAGCAGCAACAGAGCTGCCCGGGGGGAACAAGTGGGGCAATTTGCCCCGGGCCCCGCAGTGGCTCCCACGAGAATGTCAGAGGCTCTCCTCTGCCTTCCCCCATCTCCCAGCGCCTCAGCGGGCCGTGTCCAGGAGCAGCCCTGCAGCGGCATGGCTTAGGCAGGGCCTGAGGTCCTCCCGCTCGGAGCCGTGTGGTAAGGGGGCGGGGCTGTGAGCTCCGGCGGGCTGAGCGGCAGGAGCTCCTGGACACGGCTCACTGAGGCTCTGGGAGAGGGGGGAGGTGGGGGTAAGCAGCATGGTAAGCCCCTCCGAGCTGGGCACCCCCCAGCTCTGAGCCCAGCCCCTCTGAGCCGGGCACCCCCCGATCCAGAGCCCAGCTCCCCACCCAGCCCTGGGCAACAGTAGCGCCACCCCCAGGCAGCGACAGCCCATTGGCACCAACCATCACCCAGCGATAGCCCATTATGCATACATTTGCAGTTACATACCGTTAAAACATTTAATGTTTTTAAATAATGTATTTTGTGTATTTTCAAATTATTACAAATTAATTTTTGAATGTATTTCACTGGTTATTCTTTACATTTCCAAATACATGTTACTATAGTACTGCAACTTTTTTTATGGAAGGGGGCCCCCGAAATTGCTTTGCCCCAGGCCCCCTGAATCCTCTGGGCGGCCCTGAGCAGCAACGGGGCCTGGGTCATCTGAACATGCACTTTTTTTATTTCATCTGACCTCAGCCTGGGTGTGTGATAACGGCACTCGCTTCACTGCAGTAAATAAGGCTCCACCACTGAAGTTTCTCTGCACCAACACCAGCAAAGGTGAGGGCTCTGCCAAGTATTTGTATGTAGATGTTTTGAAGTCATTAATACAGAACAGTATCCTCGGATTAACTTCCATGATGCCATGCAGCGTGTATGCTGCATCTCTTCCCACGAAAATAGATCTTTCTCTTCACCCACTTCTCCAACTTGTCTGTCAATGTCACTGTCTTACATAGACACACTTACATAGTCCACTCCCTTGCTTCTGTCTGCGCACACACTCAAACATAGGGATAAAAAAATTTGCCAGATGCCTAAATATCAGAGGACTAAACAGGTTTGAGGGCACTGTAGCCTCTATTTAAAATTGACTGGGTAGTCCTGGGTTAAACTATAATGTCTCTAGGGAGTCAGCACAGCTCCTACGGTGCTACAGATTTCAGATAAATGGGGTGAAAGTTAACCTTTACAGTTCTCTTAGATTGGGAGATACGGTGGAGCGCACACAGAACAAATAATGACGGGAAACACTGTTGCAAGTAAAAGAAAATCTTGTTTGTATTTTATGTTTCACACACACACGCACCCCTACACAACCAGAGAGAGCCCAAGCAATAGCCAATGCCGTAAGCATACTCACATACCCAAAGATATTAGTCTAGTGGGTGTCTTAACAGGTTGTCATTGATCAAGGGGTGGTTCCTGCTGGGGTGGTCTTCCTACTTTAGCTCAACCAGGAAACCTCTTATCTTGTTCTGACCATGCCTAATACCCTATGCATATGCATGAGGGTTCTACCTTCCTTTTCCTTATCTGTACTTCTACATGCCATAAATTCTGAGATGCCCTGCTTATGTCAACTGGTTTCCAGAGTAACCTGTGGTCAAACAGAACTTTCAATGATGTTACAATCAGGTGTCTTGCAGTCTGGACAGGTATGTTGTGACTTATTTTCCATAACATCACCTATTGGCCCATCCTTTACAGTGATCATGTGGTTTTATTGGCATAGGGTTAGTCTTAGGTCACCCACTCATGTCAAGTTTCCTTAAGCCTGAGGCCTAGTGTGGCTAAGCTGAAATCTTACAGACTTTAGCCTGTTGGCTTTGCATTACAGTCTTGCTTTACTTACCGTATATAAGCCGACCCTATAATTCAGGGGTCAGCAAACTTTGGCTTCCGGGCCATCAGGATAAGCCGCTGGTGGGCCGAGATGGTTTGTTTACCTCGAGCGTCCGCAGGCACGGAGGTAAACCTAAATAAACAAAGTGTCCCGGCGCGCCAGCTGCTTACCCTGACGGGCCGGGACAGCAACTGGTGGGGAAATTTTTTGGGGGGGAGAAGCTGGGAGTCAGGGGAGTAACCCCAGTGACCACCCCCCCCCAAATGACCCCACCCCTAGCCTGGGACCCCCACACTCTCCCATCCCATCCCTTCCCACCTTATCTGGGGAGGGCCAGGGGAGGATGTCTCTGACCTGACTGGAGCTGCTTTGGCAGACTGGGTGGCGTGGCCACAGCCTGCTCTGACGGACCAGACTGGGCAGTGCGGCCGCAGCATGTTTCAGCGGGCTGGGCTGGACGGTGTGGCTGCAGTGTGCTCTGGCACCTGGGCGGTGCGTCACAGCCTGCTCTACGGGGTGGGGCCGAGTGGCATGGCTGCAGCCTGCCAGCCCCAGAACTGCAGCTGCTTTGGAGGCTGGGGGGGAGAGCAGCGTGGCCAGAAGTAGAGAGACTCTGGCCCTGCTTCTTCCCTTCTGTCTCTGCTGGCTGTGCTGCCTCTCCTTGCTCCCTCTGTGGGGGGGAGGGGCTGTGTCCCACCGTTCCCTCTCTATACCCATTCATAAGCCGACCTCCGTCTCTGGTGCTTCCCTTTTTTACTAAAAAAATCGGCTTATGAACGAGTATATACCTAATACACACTCATTACTCCTAAATACTTGTCTATCTTCTACTCCCATAGTCCTATCCTACTTGTATCTGTTCATCACACATTGACTACATATGACATAATATGTGAGTGATAAAACGAACTAATTGGCTACAACCTCCTCTGTCCAGGAAAAAGCTATGCTTACCCCTCACCGTTCCAGGTTGCTTGCAAATAGAGCATGCTGGGACTTGTATTAGGGTGCTGTTTGTGGTCCCCACATAGGGCTCAGTTTCCAATATTCGTTTACTAGTAGATGTCTACATTTGAGACTTCCCAGCAGCTGCGTGGGGGGTGGGAGGGGTGCAGTCGCTGCTACCTTTCTTCTATCTATGTCTTCATTTGGGGTGTCCTTCAGTAGAAGAGTGAAAATTGTTCTGATGGTTGTCAGGGTTGAATTTTTGTTTTTTTGTAACTGTAGCAGCTGGAACTTCATAAGCATCAGGAAAATCTCTGTGGTCAGTTTTCACTGCAGAATGGGCAAGCAGTGAGCAGTAGCAGGGGCATTGTTTGTAGATTTAAGAAGACACAACTATATAGTACGGGCTTGCATTCAATTCATCTTTGGAACTATGAGAGCTAGGAACTTTCTGATGAAAACGTAAAGCCAAATTCGTAGGCTGCTTGGTTGTCCTGCCAGCTTGTGGAACTCTCAGCCTTGAGTTGGGTGCCCAGGCTCCATACAACACATGGTGAGTTAGGCACCTAAGAAAGGTTGACAAAAACCACCATGCTAAGTGTGGAGCTGCCTAAGCTAGGCAGTAGGAAGTGCCAAAGAGAGGGATGGGGCCTAAGTCCCCTGCCTCAAAGGGAGTTAAGCGCCTAACTCTGGGGTTCAGGGAGGTACTAATTGGCTTGGAATTCACGCTGTGAACCCTCTTCTGGAGGTAGATGCCTAAGCCAGAAAAGCTCTTTCTCAAGAAAAACAGGAGGTTATGGTGGTTGTTCCAGTTCCCTTATAGCCAGCAGCCCAGTGGTTAGGGCACCGGCCCGGTATGTGGGAGACCTGCGTTCAAATCCCAGTTCTGCCTGATTTGGAGCAGGGACTTAAATCCAGGTCTTCCTAGAGAAGTACCTTAATCACTGGGTAATTCTAGGTTGTAAGTTTGGGTTGGGTCCTATTGGCGCTATTCCACTGTTAATTTAAAAAACAAACAAACTGGTAATTGGAGCAGGGACTGGAACCTGAGCCTCCCAGGTGAGTGTCCTAACCACTGGACTAGTCAGTCTCTCTGGCCTGTGTTTATTCTCGTTTTCTCTAATGATTTGTTTCAACTGCTAAGTAAAAACACTTTATTTTAAGAATGCTGGTGGTCAATATCGCTGGTCACAGGTTGCCAAAGAATCAAACAGAGGTGGACCTGCCTGGTAAGCGGGGGGTTGTTGTACAAGGATAGTGCACCCAAATCCCAGTCTGAATAGAATTGTAAGATTCCATCCTGAGGCAGGTAAGGGCAAGAGGCTCGAGACCTGAGACAGGTGCTCTGAAAGAACAGAAAGGGGACAGAGGTGTAACTAGCCTCCTAAGCATGAGTACATTTCTAAATAAAATGCAGTGACTGAGATGAGCTGCTGAGCTTTGCTCAGTGTGCGCCACAGAAAATACATTGTGTAAGTAGACTGTATTGTAATGGAAGTGCAGGGGTGGACAGTGTTAAACCTGTGCATGCAACCTTAATTCATGCCTTTCAGTTACTGTGCAACTTCAGCATTCTTAACATAGTCTTAATGTATCATCCTTGCATCTTTTGTTTTGTATTGCACTGTAGAGGAACTTTGCAAAGCATTTGATGGTTTCTTTTTTACAGTGCACTTGGCAAGGTTAAACTATTAAGGAGACAAAATCAAGTTTTCCTGAAATAAAACCTTCAGAAAATATGATCAGTTGCAGGTAGATCTGTGACTTAGTTCAATTAGAAAAGGGAAGTAATATAGTTCTGAGCTGCATATTATAATTCTGGATACTTCACCTAGATTTGACCCTGACACAGACACACGTTTTCTGCAGTTAACGTAGAACTGTCACTTTGTGTTGTACTAAAGTCTTTGCAAAGTACTAATATGACACTTCTAAATGCTTAGTATATTCTAAGTCTCTAAAATTGGTTTATATTTTAATTATTCCATGCTACTCTCTAGCATGCTGGACCTAAATTCTGCACCAAGGCTGCTTGTTTTCTGAGGCATGTTGAGATTTCTGCAACAGCTTCAAAATTCAGAGTTCTTGACTATTTGTGGGAAAGAAGAATACAATGTGGCCTATATTCCTTGTGCTGCTGATCTCTATTTTGGAATGTTTCAATTTATTCTCTGCTCAAATTTTTATGGTCATAGAATTGAGTCTTGATAACTCATACTGCATATTGTCTGCCAGAAGAAAAGCTAAAGGCTTGTGCACCCTAGTAGGGAGCTTTTGCATTTGTTGGCACCCAATAAGGGATAAGAAGTGACTGTAATGAGTGGGGTTTTGGGGAGGGGTGTGGTTGTCATCAAACACTATCAGTCTATTGAGAGCTGCTGCACCAGCCAGAATGACCATGGTTGATGGTAAACCATTAATTTCCATCCTAGCAGTCTTTAACTACAAACAGCTCTACTGACTGTTCCTTTTCACTGAGTCCCACAGTGAGGAATAGCTGGATGTAACTGGTAAAATGATCATCTTAAATCATTGTCACTTTACATGATCATCAAGTTTCTGAGTTTGTTACATTGAGACACAGGGCCATTCATACTTGGCAGCTACTGTTTCAATCTGTAGACTCAGTTAGGACTGCACGGTTTTACATATGGAAGGCTAGCTTCAGCACCATAACAGCATATTTTAAATGAAAGCTTAGATTTTTGTGGCAGAATCTGCAGCCACAAAATTGTGGAGAATATAGTTCTGGTTATATTATTACAAAGCTTGCATTAACTGTACTTTGTAAATTAGATCCGGTGCTTGCAGAGCTACCTGTTTGTAGTAATAAGCATACTACTGCTGGCCAGAAAAGTGGGGAGCAGGGGTAGGGATTTATACTTCTGTTTTTGTCAATATATTGTGACATGGTTTAATGCAAATTTTCTTCCCCTCCTTTGAGCTTTAGATGGGACTTGTATGATAGGCTGAACAATACTGCCAATGATGTGTAAGCTGTTCTTTGGCAAAGATGGTTTTGGTGAATTCTTAATCTGCTATTGCCTCTTGGAAATCCTAGCATGTCTATCAATTTAGATTAAATTTTGTTTATCCCAGTTTTGTCTTTTATTATTGCTTAGGGACACTTTTTAGTTAACAATACCCCCCTCCCCCATCCCTGCCACACATACCAGGATATTCCCTTCTTAAAATTAGGGGTATTTCAGTCTTCATGCCCAGTCAGTTCTCTGTAGTCCGAGCAGAGAGGTAAACAAGGATGCTAGTTATGAGGTTTTTGTGAATATGGGCAGAAATTCACTAGGAGCCCAACACAATCTAATTTGCTTCTGATAGTGCCAACCCCCTGAAAAGCCATCAGATGGTGCGTGATCATCAGCTATCCTAAGCCTGTCTTGAATTGAAGACCTAGATGTCACTTTCCAATCCTCTTAAATAGTTACTGCTTTTAGAACCATAAAGGCCTTAATATACCTTGGGTAACTTCCTTGTGAATTCTGATTCTTACTGTTTTTGTTTGTATTAATTAGCGTTCTGTTTTTCACTCTAGGAGACTGACAGGGCATTCCTTCCACATGGGCTATAGTATGGCAATACTGAATGGCATTGTGGCAGCTCTCACCATAGTATGGTGCCTCATTTGAATCCTACGCTGGCTCGGTGATCTTCAACAGGTCAAGATGCACATAGAAACTACTATAAACTGTCCAGTCCGCTTTTTTTACAACACTGTGGAACGACATTTCACATCTCAAATAGAAATGTTTGTCATTCACTGTATGTTTCAGATTTATAGACGAATCTTTGGGTTTATATTTATAGGGTGTTTGCTTGAGTTGCATTAAGAGTGGGGGGAGGGGAAAATGCCATATACAAATTGAAAATGTTTTAAACCCAGGGAATGACACTTTGATTGCTATTACTGTATAAAGGATTCTTATCTGCACTTCCAGCTATACTACAGAGTACAGATAAACATGACACTTATGAATTTAACCATATATTTAAAATGTACAGTGTTGCTAATAATAAAGGCCACTAACTTTTTTTTCACCGAACATGCTATTTAACTTGTACTTGGCCTAGGCAGTAAAAACTAGATTGACTTTTGCTAGTCTACTCAATTTTATACTCTGTTTTGTCAGCATTCGTGCAATACTTGTTTATAACACTGCAGAGGACAATTTATTTAAATATTTCATTAGATTTAAAAAAAAAATCAAAATATTTCATTTCATATTAGCTTTTATCAACTGTCCCCTCTTTGTTTTGTAAACAATCTAAAACTTGTGCCTAAATCACCTGATAGTGTTTTTACTTTGGAGTAATGCAACTATATGCTAGAACTACTGTATATACAAAAAAAGTTTCACTAAGAATGTGTGGAAACTTCTCCACTTTGTGCCATTAAAGAATAGAAAATATTGCCTAAATCTTTTTACATGGTAAATTTAATACATAACATCAGTTTCCAGGATCTGCAGTAGAGTACCTCACTGAAGAACTGCAGGAGTTATTTTTATGGCTTTTTTGCATCTTTGTAATGTATGTAACTGCTCAGTTTCTTACAATATTTTTCTTAATCTCTTAAAAGGATCAGGAGTCTACCAAACAGTTAAACTACAATGGCATATGTGTTGGAATTTCATTTTTTACTTTTTTTGCTTCACATGCATATTTGAAGTTTATGGATATTTTAAGATGTATATTGGTTGTATTCTGTAATTAAAATGCTTGTAAAGTTGATTAGAGCATCAAACTCTTGTAAGAGTATAAAAAAAAAAAATTCATTTCCAGATAATGTGTAACTTAAAAAATTGACATCCTGTAAAATGTGCAAATCAGCAGTTCAATTTGGATTTCAACAAATCACAATGATCACTTAGTTGACTACACTTTTAAAATGTATGTATTGTTTACATATAAGGGTGTGCATGTTTAGTATATTAAAGCTAAACCAATTCCTTTTTCTAGTATATTAAACAGATATTGATACTGAATTCAGATCTTTTCATGGTGTAAACCCTACATATGTATAAATAGCTTTAGTCAAATGCAATGTTTACTTTTTTACATTAAACAGAAAATAGTTTAAGGTCCAAGCACTTGTTAATAAATATTTTTACATTTTTAACCAATGTTCCTATTTGTATAATACGCAATTGGTTCACAAATGTGCCTTTTAGATGTATTCATAAATTGAACTATTAAGGATTCCCACCACCTTCCTCATTGGATGAACTTTTCTCCATCACATCTGTGCAACGCTCAATTAAGCCTGAAATTAATCTGGTTTTATTGGTGTAATAGCAGAATTGACATAATTAGACAAATTAAGTCCATGTGGGAGCTGGTGCAACTCTACTGATGTAACTGGAGTCTAGTGCTGAATTTGTCCCTATGTCTTAGTCTTCCATCTATGAAATGGATACTTCTTGAAATCATTTGGTAACTTTCCTCATAGAAGTAATGTTACAAGTGAGTTAAGATTCTTCATTTTTCTGCACCAGACAAGATGATCACATAGTTTCTTGTACAGAGTAAATGGAAACAACACCGCTAAATCTGTTTGATAGTCTCTGAAATTGCATACAAGAGCCTGGTTGGATCACAGACTGCGGTTCTGTCTTATTTGGTGGAGCAGCATCGCTACCCTGTCTAAATAACCTGGATTTAAAAGATCAGAGTAAATGAGGCCTAGACAATTTCCAGCATGCATACTAGTCTGCAGCTACCTCTGCAGCATAACACAACACACTGACATCAGTATACCTTTAGGAGAAGTAAAGAAGGCTGATTACTGCAGAAACTCAAGTGAACCCTTGTACTATAGAGAAAGAAGTTAAACAACTGCAATGGAGTTTCAGGGAGCTTTGGATAAAGGGACTGGGGAAAGAAATCAGTACCAGCTCTGGCTTCTGCAGGCTGGAGATGCTGCTTCTGCAGTGTCCTGCTAGCCTGCTGTGCATTAGGTTAATTGGCTAGCCACTATCCTCAATCTCCATCCAAGTGATTTGTGTAGCATGTTTTGTATCCAAGAATCCATCAACCATACAGTTGGTGATAGGAGACAGATGAGTGCTTCTGCTTAGGAATTAGCTATCATACTGGCCTTCAAGATTTCCCTGGGTAAAATGGAACTCAAGAAGCAAAAGAGACTCCCTGTTACCTTGGATATCTCAGATGCCCAGTCATAGCAACAAGGTTAATTTAGGCTTTTAAAAGAAAACAGCAGCAGCTCAGCTAATACCAAGCGTTGTCCAGCCATAATATTGACATCAAGAATATGCAAGGAGTTTCCTGTTTCCTCTGGGTTAGCCCTAGAGGATATACAGAGTCTGCTTACTATAGAAGTTGCTATTACCTTCTGAAACCTGACTGTACTTCTTTTGTATGTGTATGCTTACCTGCTTTAACCTTGTAAAAAAACTTTTTTTTCCTAGTTAATCTTTATACTATAGGATTGGCTACAAGCATTGTCTTTGGTGGGAGATGTAAGGTGCAAATTGACTTGGAATAAGTGACTTATCCTTTGGGACTGGGAGTAACGTGAATATTTTGTGATCTTTGGTGTAAAGTGGCCATCTATCATAGTCAAGCTTGCCTGAGTGGCAAGATAGAGTGCAGTTGCCCAGGGGACTGTCTGACTCCATATTAATGCTGTATGGTGCCTGAGAAGTTCACATTTTTTTTACTTGGTTGGTGAAATCTAAGTGTAGAACTCTCAACCACTTTGGGATTTGTGGCCTGCTTCTTAACAGTCTGCCCTAAGGTTGGTATTCTTGCTCGTGAGCCTCTCAAGACTGTCTGACAACCCTTAGTCTCTGTAGCATTGTGATGTGATCAATCCTTTTCAGGGTCAGAGATGCACATAAGGAATCAGAGACCAAAAATAATCTTCCTTTAGAGAAGACATGCAAACCTTTGTGATCCAAGTCTTAGTTGCAGATTTTTAGGTTACAGAAAATAGGTGCAGAATTGATTTGTCTAGTACATTTTTCAGTGTTTAGAATTAAGACATTTTATAAATGCATATCTTTGCAATAATCCATGTAATATACATTAGAGGGTTAAAATAATGGGGGTGGGGGTAGCCAAGCTAAGTGTTTAGCTGCTCATACTTTGAGTTTTCCTGAAAAAGAAAAAACCTCTAGCAAATCTCTCAAGAGTAGCATAACTATTGCCATTTCCTGGGTTATTAAAAATGCTTTTTTTCGTTATGTCATTAGCAGCATAATAGTGTCTGCTTGATAGTATTTGAAATATGCACTGCAATTCTCATTTTTCATTTGAATTCATCTCAGAAGTCTACAATAAGCAGTAGCAAAAATTTTAAGAGATAATTTGAAATCGCCAATGTTTTATTACTTTGCTGGCCAGCATGATTGCTCCTCAGTAGGTTACTTCATGCATATACCATCTCTTTTAGGATCCAAGAAACATTAATCTTACATATTAACACCTGATGCCCTAGTTAAGTTGACCTATTTAGGGGATAAATGAACTCTGTGAACTGAGGGGTGAAAACATTAATACTATGGTGAAGAAGCACTGCAATGATTTTTGCCAGCTTATGTATAGTATCTGATTAATGGACTTGTTTGTTATGAGGAAATTTGAAGCCCTTTTCTTTTGACACGATGCTTATAATGTGGACAGGTCCGGAGCTGTGAATATCTTGGTTATGAGGGCACACAGGTGTATGCTTTTTTTTTACATATAACAATGTTCTTTTATATTTTACTTCCACATGACCAATGAAAGAAAGCCTTCAGGAAGATTCAAACAGCTTAGTTTAAAGCAGTCACAGTCAAACCTTAGAG